CCATCTTGATCGATCACTTGCGGCAACAGATCAAAGCTTATTTTTTTCTTGTCATTTGGTTTAATATGCTCTGACTATAGATTATTTGTTCAAATTTGCAACATTCATAATTCTCAATCAGTTAGTGTCATACAGTAAAACGAAAACAAAATTGTAAATGGATTTAGAAAAACACCAGTTTTCGATCGATTCACTCAATCACTATGAAAGAAATTTGATTTTTTTTGAAATAATTTATTCGTATGTTTTCTTTTTTCTGTACGTGACTATTGTAAGAAAGGAATAGATTAAGCAATTTTTTATTATATGTGTAATGCCATAAATAAATAATAGAAGCATCAGACTGAATTGTACAAAAACAAAACTTACTCATAGTAGCTGAGTAATGGAACGACATTGATGTTTTCTATTCCTATGATGGCAAAAATAATTCAAACTTTTATTGAGATTTTCACTTTACCTGTATCTTTGTAATAATTATGCGTAGAAAACTAACATCTTAGCTTAGACGAAATCTAGATGTTTAGTGCATGTACTGTAAAGACAAGTTTTCAACGGTATGGAAACATGTAAGAAAAGAAAATTGCTTAAAGAAATGAAAACCTATTTTATAATCTTTATGTGTGATCATTTAAAGATCTCTCTTCATCCCTCAAACATCGATCTTAGACCAGGTATATACAAACCGCGTGAAATTTTCAAAAGATATTCTGGCTATATCCCATGAAAAAAATTTTTGTAAAAGTTTGCGTTTCAACGCGTTTTTTTTCTGGTTCGCATGTTTTTGCTAGATCTTAAACGCAGTTTTTAAAACGCGTTGGAACGCGTTTTTTCCACTATCAACGCAAACAAGCAGTTCGAAAACGCGTTCATTACAGTACGTTTTATTGATGTAAAACGCGTTGTTTTTTTCCTATAAAAGCCTTATTCTATCCCCTTAGCTATATTACTTATCTTATCATAGTTACATCATTTTATTGTATGTTTCTCAGTAACTCCTTTACCAAAAGTTCCAAGGATTTCAGAAAAGATAAATTGTAGTCACTACAGCATAAGTCGAAGTAAAGTTGATATACTGAAGTGCTCCATTAGTCTAACAAAAAGTTTAAGTGTAAATCAAATAGAAGGAGCACTTGGGTGTCAACTTTACTTCGACTTATGCTGTACTGACTACGATTTATCTTTTCTGAAATTCTTAGAACTTTTGGTAAAGAAGTTACTGAGAAAAATACAATAAAATGATGTAACTATGATAAGATAAGTACTATAGATAAGGAGATAGAACAGAGCTTTTATAGGAAAAAATATGATAATATAAGCCTTCTTAAGTCTTAAAATGTGAATCCGTGTAGTCGATAAAAATATGGTTGCAATCAGAGGGTAGATCTCAACGAAATTAAATAGTTTGAAGATGATTAAGGGAAAGATAATCGGATATGTAGTTGTCACTTAGCTTCGATTTGTGAGATTTCTATTCAAGCTATACGATGCGATATTTCTGACTATAGAGGTATGCGATGTAATATTACTAATTATAGGACTATACGATGTGATATTACTAATTACAAAACTATACGATGCGATGTTTCTAACTACAAGGCTATACGATGTGATATTTCTAACAACCAATGCACGTTGACATACGAAAAACTTTCATTAGATAATTTTTCTATAAACGAATCTGAATTTTTTGGATGAAACTCAACGCTCTTAAAAAGCATGTGTTATATTATTTATCTCTATCGGCGCCACCTATCAGATAATTTTTTTGGTGATTATAAAGTAATGACTAAGATTTATTCCAAAGAACTTTTAATTTACAAGCAGAAAAAAATCAAAGATTTCCGTAAAAATATTTATTCAATGAAAATACTCCGTATGCCTTTGTTTTTCTCAGTCAACTCCATTGTGACACTAAGCTCATCAATTAGACATAAAGCACATATTAAAGAATAAGAGGAATAGACAAAAATTTTTACAATACCTCATTTTGATTCTAAAAGAAACAGATGCTATGAAGAAATATAAAGAGACAAAATGTCTGAAAGATCAGGTTTGCTATCGGTATTACTCGCAAATTATGTCTGAAGAGAAACGAAACTCTATGCATATCAAATTGCAGCATTCTTCGAGGAATAGGTTATAGATATATTCGAACTTTTACTGGAAACAAAGCGACTAAGATTTTTCGACGGCCACTACAGAAAATCACTAAAGAAAAAAAAAGAACTGAACTAAAATTTGAATAGAGTACCGTGAAGACGATAAACGTATATGCACTATTTTTTCTTCGTATAATCTCTTTTAAGGAATTGCGAATGTTAGAAAATAGTGATCTAAGTATGATTCTTTAGAAATTTTATGAAAAATTTTAAAAAGTATCACAGGATTAATCAATGAAGGGAACTAATTTAACAGAGTCGTTACATCGGTATCATTTTATCCATGGAGTCAATAAATGAAAGAAATTCCAAGACTTTTGTGAATTTTATACCAAAAACGCGAAAACAATGGCATTAAAATGATGAAATTTTTTTGATTTTTCACCTTTCTGAGTATCTATAACTTTTTCAACTTGCTCAACAAGTTTTTTCAGTCAAACTAAATTTGTTCTAATCAGTCTGCACTTGTTCTTTTTGTACAAAACTATTTCTTTCTTTAGTTATATTCAAATAGATTCTACTGTACTATGATCATAATATTTAACTGCAGAATGGGTCTATTTAAACCATATATCTTTGAGTGTAACATTGTGCAATGTTTGTCTAACTTGTAGCAAACTCTTACTTCATGAAACGGTGTTTTTACTGTAAATATTAATCTAAATATCATTTAACTTATTTGCGAAATAACACGTTTTCTTCAGAAAAAATGCGTTAAAGAAAACAACGTTCCAACATGCTTGTGAAAACCTCGTTTTTCACAAAAAACACATTCAAAAATGAACATATTCTTGTACGTTTGTAAAAAATTCATTTTTTTGGTAAAAGAATGCGTCGAGATGCATGAAAAATAAATGCCTCCGAACGCATAAAAGCAAACGCGTTCAAATGATGATATCAGGTGGCGTTTTTATTTTAAAAAACGCGTTGTAAGTAAAAACAATGCGTTCAAACGCATCTCAAATAAAAAAGAATGAGTTCAAACGCGTCCTAACTACACACTAATGCGTTTAAACGCAAAATTAGCGTTTTCTTCAAGAAAGTTGGCGTTCAAATGCTACTTTTTGCAAATTTCTTTTTCATGGGTAGTGGAGAAGTTATGCTGGAACTTTTAGTTATATACCATGATGTTTTCGTGAAATATTCAACAAACAAGAGTCAAAAATAACTCATTTGGCAATCCAAAATTCTCTGTGGGTCTTCATTCTATAGACTTTATTTTTTCTTGTTTGAAGAAACATGTCAAGATGCAGAGTATGACACACAGATCGTTTTTTTTAATTGCTACTTGTTAATAATATGTATATATAGTAACAAAGTTGTCTTCAAAAAAGGGATTCTGTCATGTCCTACATCTTGACATGCTCTTTCAAACAAAAAAAAAAGTCATGAGCTACAATCAAGCTCTTACGAGAGTTCTGACATGCATGATCAAAAAAAAAATATAGGCAAAGAAAAAAAAACGAAAAAGATTTTCAGTTTTATCTGAAAAAAACGTATTTTTCAAACAGAAAATATTAGAAATTTTTGAAAAAAACAAGGTGTTAAATAAAAAAATGATGTGATTTATGAAAGATTAGAGCCCGAACTTCCTTTCCATTGATTTATTTCAATTTTTATGTTTTTGACGAAAATTGACTTTATCGAGGATAGAAATGGATAGCTTAATAATGATATCGAGAAAGTTTTATTCTATCAATGCTGTTGTCTCATGATTTCTGCTTCTATATTGTATTTACCAATAACAATGTTGCACGTTTGTTTGCACTACCACCGGTATACCACGACTGAATGGCAATGAGAGGATAGTCGATCATTTAAGTATCAAACCACCGCCGGTTGATTATCGGTATATCGATGATTTTTTTGTCATTATCGGCAAATATCGCTGGCATAGTGCACATTATACTGAACTGTCTACTGACAATTTACCGATGGTTTTTGTCCTGTTTGAATTACATGAGTGTTTATTTTATGAATGACGTCTACAAACATACGTTTCTCATCAATAGAACGAAATTCATAAGGTGACATGATTTAGCTTAGATATCTGGAAGTAAACCTTAAATATTTTGTATTCTGATAAAGAGATTTAATATGGTATTCTTTTTGCCAAATATGTTCGAAATTATTCTTTTTTCCGATGATCTAATGTATTACCCATGTGAAAATCACAAATAATCCATTGGGTTATACAAAGAAAATATTAAAACTAAGAACTACTTCAACAACGATGATGTCTGGTTATGATATTTTAACTCAGAGAAGTACGAACCATTGTTGAAAACAAATATAGCATACGAGCCATCAAGTAAATTGAACTAAATCGTGAATTAATAGATTACTGAATCTAAATGACTTGAAAAAAAAATGATTCACTTTTCCATACAGTTTTGTATCAGAACACGGGTTATGTAATAACTCAAATGTAAATTATTTTTCTTTTTCTTCTGATGGCTTTAAATAATAAAGAAATGCTAAAAAGGTTAATCAGAAGAAGTTTTCATAGTATTACCTCATTAGTAAGCAAATGTAACTCTTGTCTGTCTTAAAAATCTAACAAAGTTGCCTTTCTTTTAAACAGAATGGTCTATTGTATAATAGTCGAATTGTATCTGATATTGCATATCCTCTATAACATATTTCAACCTACTATTCCTTTTTGTCCACGTTGTATCGATAACTAATGACAACTAATAGTAATGTATTAGTTGAATCCATTGTAAACTTATGAATTGGATTCTAACTGATCTCATTCACTCTATGTCTATATCTCATATGCTAATTCTATCACGAAAAATATAAATAATCTATTAATTAGCTTGTATTGCAATCAGAATGAATTTAGAATCTTTACCTAATCAATTATTAATTGATATATTCGAATTATTAGATTCAATTCAATTACTTCGAGCTTTTCATGATCTTAACATTCGATTTAATAAACTTCTTTTCTCGTATTTTGAACTCTATTCTCTTAATTTTCGATCTGTACTTAAACATGATTTCGATATCATTTGTCAACAACATCTTCCATTAATTCTCAATAAAATACATTCATTATGTTTATGTGATAATGATGAAACACCTAATCTATCTTCACTTTTTCTTTCTTGAGATTTTACTCTCAATCAATTCAGTTATTTACATTCACTTACACTCTATTCTATTCATTCATTCATTCAATCGTTTAAATCATTTGAGATTCGATTGTCATCATCTTTCTCATTTGACTCATCTTAATTTAATTCAATGTAGTTATTATCTAAACAAGAATGATCTTTTATGCTTAACAAATAATATTTGGAATTTGTCAAAATTAATATATTGTCATATTGATTGTTTTTCGATAGGTCGAACAAATTTTCTTCGAATGATACCAATATCATTAACAATTGAATATTTATCCATAGAAAATATTCATTGTGATTTAAATGCTTTATCACATTTATTTAAGCATACATCTCATCTTAAAAAACTTTATCAAAATATTGAATGCAATTTTAGCAATGAACAACTTCATATCAATATTCATCAATTATTTCATTAAATTTAACTTTTGAAGGTTCAAAATATTCAATTGAAAATCTTTTGCAAAAATTACCTAATTTAATTTCTTTAACACTTCAATTATCACATGTCTATTTGAATAGATATGAATGGGAGAAAATTTTTATTAATCATATAGCCAGTATAAAAGATTTTCAATTAAAAATGAATTTTGCATTTAATCAATAAAATGAAATTGATGTTTTACTTGATTCATTTCGAAATCCATTTTGGACTAATATACACTAATGGTTTGTTCGATGTGATTAGTATTCATTAAATACTATTCTTTATACATTACCTTATGCATTTGATGAATTTATTTATTCAATAAATATCAATCAAATTCTATTTGTTTTAATAATGGTAATTATTGGTTGTATAATCATGTAAATAAAATAATATTTGAAAATAATTTCTATCAATATCCTGCTCGATTTTTAAATATTCGTCATCGTGATTTACATTGTTCATTGAATGAAAATATTTTGTCAGCTCTTCTAAGATTAGATCGATTACATTCATTGGATACTGTCATACGTAATGATTTTTCTTATTCATTATTTGAAACATTTATTAATCAAGCTCCGCATTTATACTCTTTAAGATTGAAATATTTCAATGATTTACCGATGGAAATATTTCGAATAAAAACTAAATCAATTCAATGAATTGATTTAATAGGCAATTCTATTTATCATATTCGGTATTTTAATAGTATTGAATGTGAAATTTTATCCAATTCATTGCTTGAAAAACAATGTAAAATTCTTTTAATTAATGTAGAAAATCGAATAGATATTATTGAATTTATTAATAAAATCTTAAATTTACGATCATCGATAGTTTGATGTAAAGATGAAAAAAACAATGACGAACTTAATCAATGGATACAAAATCATATACCATCTGCATGTTTCATGAGTAGAGATCAAAAAGATATGTTTCGTATTCGTTTATCGTTGAATAAATAAATGAATAAATAAATATATTTAACTTTGGTATTTAAGGTTTATCAGTGTATTTTAGAGTCCTGCAACCTAACTTGATCTGACTCGCAAGCAGGTTCGGGTTTAATTTAAAAATGTATCGGATTTTTGTCGGATTTCATTTTTCTCATAATATACAAGCTCGTATCGTCTATTTTTTTATACTACACAAAGAATAGTGAAGTAAAAATCTTTTGGCTTGTTTTCAAGACACTACATGAATACATGCAAAATTTCTTTGTCTACAAACAATAAATACTGCTTTTTCTTATTTTAATACTTCTGTTGTTGTTGTCGTTCGGAAATGAGTTCAAAAGAAAAACATTCGAAAAGCCATTGAAAGTGGAGGATATACAATTTTGGAGAAACCTCAATTCAATGTTACCTAGTGGAACAATTTTCATTGTATTATAGACACTGATGATAAAATCATGAGTTATGTGCAATATGTGCCATGCAAGAAGTTGTCTATGAACCAAAAAAATACTGACTCAAGCACGCTGAAAAATCATGCCTCTTTATGTAAATTTGCAACTGGTGTATATTTTTGGGTGTGATTGAAATGGGAAACATGATGAAGTTGTTTATTTTATTAATGACATAATTTAGCACTACATGGAAAGTTTTATTGAGAAGTCTGAACATACGATGAATACAAAAAAATATTAATGTTACACAACGACAAAAACAAACATTTCTTTTAAAATTGCAAATGAAATGTCACATATATAAATGCACAACAGTTGTTTTCAACAAAACAATTAATTCTCTCATTGATTTACATGAAATGTAGTCAACAAAGGCTCTTCTTGAGAATGACAGTGAATAGTATAACATCACCTTCAAAAGATTTTTTTGTATCTGGAAATTAACTAAACTTTTTATACTGCTGTATAACATAGGAACATTTAGCGGAAAAAAGTATATTTGTCCATACGTTGGATTTTTGAAACGATTATTCACTTTGTTCTTTGCTTTCGATAATATCAACCGAAAGAATTTGAAAAATAATTTTTATGACCAAAATTTAGCATTGCAATAAGCATAGATTCATGAAAAGTTATGTAGAAAATATTTTCATTAAAAAAGCTTCACGTTTTGCCCGAGATTCGTCATTTTTTTCAAAGATTAAAATTTTTCGACGTAAAAACTTCAAATCTGTGAATTATCTGAAAGTCTGAGTTAGAAAAAAATACTTTTCACTAATTCCGATACTCAGTGAACTTCGTTCACCAGAAGAATAAATAACATTTTGTCAACATTTCTCATGGTAATAGTCGGAGTTTTTACCCGATGAATACTGACCATTTTCAGTCCATTTCAAAACTATGACAAATGTGTTGGAATTCAATGATTCGTTTAGAAACCATATAATTTTTTGAGAATTGGTGAACAGAAAAAAAAAGTAATAAAACACTGAAACTCCGCTGGGAACAAACGAAAATTTTTCAAGAGTAGGGGATACCTTAATTACGAATAAGGCTCTTTGATGTTCAAGACCATGATCTAGGACATTAGTTTGTAAATTCTGATGAGTGATTCCAAGATTTCATTCAATAAATTATGAACTTAAATTTTAGCTTTGATACAACAATCGATTATTTTTATATGAGAAGTTACTTAATGAAAAATAGAATATACAAGTCTTCATTATTAATATTAGTTTTAGACATAGGCTAATAAAATCATCCAAACGATTTATGTTGATCGATGTTTTAATAATAAAAAGTATCGAAGGTGACAAAAGCGATGGATGCAACTAGTGTTATATATTTTACGTCAAGACAGGGATAAAATGGTTTAGTTCCTACATCCAATAGACTGATTAGTATTCTAAAATAAAAGACTACATTGAATGCAATCTATTTTATATATTCAAAAGGTAGTCAAATCTAAAATATCATTTTCACACAGAGATAATTGCTTCTCAACAATATTTATACCGAATATTTGCCTTTTTTTTTCGAATTATATTTTCTTGTTAAATTTTCAATACAGTCAATAATGAAGATTTATGAAGTTAACTTCATTCTTCAAGCTTTCTCATAACAGATAGTTTGATTGAATTACTATCGTAAATAGTATTGTTATTTTATTCGAAAACAGTAATTATATTTTGTTAAGTATAGTTGCTGAAAGAATTACAAGGAAACGAATGTAAGACGAAACGCTCAAAAACTGAAACAGCTTACCAACTGCGGTTTTTACCATTGAAAAGAAAACAGATGTTTTCGAATATTTCTCTGCATTGTAGACAATTAATTATAATACGATATCAATCGTCGCAGAAAAATCAAGATTATCTATGTGAATGCTACGAAAAAAAAAGAGACAGAATTTTTCATTGAATCCTTTATCCCTCTGAGTCTGTTTTTTGTTCATGAAGTCCGAAGAAATTCATTGTAATTGAAATAGGAAAATGAATCATCATTTATTTTTTTGGAATAACAGCCAGTGTTCGTATGCCATTAACAATCGACGGTCTGTTTCTATCAGATATGCTTTTTGAAATTTCTTCAGATACTTTCGGTACAGCCTTTAATAGTTGTTCGCTTGGAATTTTTTGAATCTTTTCTAGATATCGAGATAAAATAAAGATTTCACTTCGACAATCATAGCAATGATCAAGTCCATCAGTATTTGAATCTCGTAAATCATGTTCATAATATGTTGTTCTCAGCACATTTTGAAAATAATCCATAGATAACTTAAGGCTTTTGATATCATAGTCAATAAGACGTGCAGTTTTTTGAACTACCAAACGACAACCATTAGAACGTCTTGAGGCCCATGGTTCCAATATTAAATCACCTTTAAAATTCTGTATTCGATTTTGTGTGCGCGGAAAGTGAAATGTTAGAAGAGATGCAATTGGTTTCATAGATGAATGCCATTCTTTTTGATTTACCATATCTATTACTAAGTTATCGTCTAAATCATCTTGTGTACCTAATGTATGTACATCACAAATCAATAATAAATCTTTTCTTGATTTAGAATATTCTTTCACTATATCTTCTATAAATTCTCCTGAACGAATATGAATTTTTGGTGTTTTTTTAGTTTCAACTTTTTTTGTATCAATAAGAACAAAGTCAAGATCAGGAAATAAATCACTTAAATAGTTAATGTGTATACCAGGTGCAGCACCAATATAAATTACCAAATATTTCCCAGTTCGAGCGTAATTTGTTAAGAACTCTATATCTGTTAAGAGTAGTTTTCGTGTTCCCCAATGTTCAGTTGTACTATGATGTTGAACAGGCATTCTGCGACTGGATATAGGAATGTGTAAATCCAAAAAACGATTTTCCTTACCGAATCCCTTTTGAATGTCTATCTTAGATCTACCATCAATAACGATTTCACGTAAATGTGGATTACGATCGTACATTTCTAGAAGTTTTTTATCGAGTTTTAAAGCTTTTACATTAGTTTTCTTTTCGAGCTCCAACCGCGCAATAAGTGCCTTCTCATCAGCGTAATATGTTGATCTGTCTGATTCAAAATTTCCAACTGAACGATTGCCTTTTGGTAAAGCAGAAGCTTCTGCGGCATCATTTTTCTCATTTTTATGTA